TGAACTTTCATTTAGACTGGTTTTTGTTTAGATTCCGTCGATTCCACGATCGTGGTAAAATAAAAACTAAATTTTTGTGTCTATCAAGAACTGCTAAAACCGCGTAAGTGCCACTTAAAGCCAAGTAAACCCCAGAAAACTATACACCACTAGAAAGCCCTATTTAAGAGGAACATTTTAAAAAAAAGTTCATTGAAATCGGTTGAGATGCGGCGGAGATATGAATTTTTAAAGGTTTCCACTTTAAAAAATGGCAACGTCGCAACCCGGCGCTTCTAAGCAAAACGGTGACCGGTTTTGGGCGTCTGGGAAGCTACTGTATCGCCCCAAGTGATCAAAATTCGAAAATGCCTTGAGGCATTTTTGGCCGTTTTTTCACACACCTCTTTGGTTCATGAATTCTTCAGTTTCATGACAACAGAAGTGCAATTTCAAACTTTCATAAAAAGGCCAAGTAGCTGAAACCGTGGAGCTAATCGATACGATATATCGTACGTCCCTATGACGCAAAACGTGACAAGTCCTGAAGATGTAAAAAATTTAATCAGAAAGTGAGAGTCCTCCTGTTGGGCTATCTGAACATAAAATTATTGGTAGAGTTTGTGCCAAATCGGTTGTCCTATTTTTAAGACCGAGGAAGGAGATGTTCCCTCCTTTCTTTCACACAAGCATGAACGGAAGAACCAAGATGGCAGATCCTCTGTCTCATTTTATAAGCCGGACAACTAATTTGGCATGAACTCTATTACTTGATGAATGAGGTCAATATCCTCTGCTTCATGACTGTTGACAAATTTTAAATATTTGTTTTCAATCTTTTCAGAAAACGAATTGGAGTCGGATGTTTTCCGTAATAGTGAGTACTCCAAATTAGAAAAATTCATCTGTCAGAAGCTGAAATTTGGAGAGATACTGAAATTCGAGCAGAAGTTTGAAGAGGGGAGGAAAGGGGGAGTCATCATAGCTTTTAATGAGGCATGTGTACATAGGCTTATTGTGTGTTGGTAAAAGGAAATACTTAGAAACCATTTTCGGGCTTTGTCGTTCGAAATGTCAAACCCATTCTAAAAAGTAATTAAAGGTGACTTGATAATTTTTCCCTGACAATCTCCGGTTTTCCGTGACTTTTAAAAATTCTCTGACATTTCCCGGCATTCCCTGACTGTGGCAACCCTGTCTTGACTGTTTGAAGTTATTGTGGTGACAAAAGATATTCCAGCTGGAGTGACCAAAACCTAATACTCAGGGCTAACCCGCTTACGGAACGGGGTGACCGCTTCTTTCAGTGAGTGGGGTGACTAAATTTGACGAGGGAAACACCCTACCTGGAAAGTTCCGAGCTATTTAAGTAATTTCTAAAGTATGCGGGACTTTAACGAGACAAACTGGACGTATTTGGACTCCCTTTTGTCTCAAGCCCACTTACACAAAGCTTGAAAGCTCTAGTTTCGGGAAACCGGAAGTCAACGAAAAGACCCCAGTGTAAACACATTACCGCGCGGTTAACGGTCACGCGTTACCTGGAAACTCGCTAATGCTATCAAACGCAATGCAACCTGGCATACCATTCAGAAAAACGGGAACATTCAATGGTGCGGCCAAACCGCTCATGGAACTAAAAAGGTGATAAAACACCGCATAAAATTGACGTAAGTAAACGAATGAAAGTTAACAAAAATAAGGGGTCGCCAAATCGACGGGTCTCTGATCTTTTCAATTATCGAGCAAGGGGGGCATGAGTGCCCGCGGGACATAGGTTTCCCGGAGGTCTGCCGGTTTCGCAGTATCCTCATCGAGGCAACCTACTCAAATTATATTGCAATCCAAGAGCAAAATTCAACGAAGTAACACGTATTGCCAGGCTCAGAAGAAGCGTATTTTCAGACAGCTTCGTTGAACAATTTTTCTGCGATACAAAAATAAAATGGCGGCGGAACTTTTTAAACGTCGCATCAGGGCGCTTACGATACTTTGGCCGAAAGGTAACGATATCAACAGAATTTA